CCTAAAATAACTCCGAGCGAAGTTAAAGCGCTAGACTATGGCCCTAACCTAGTAACGGGTGCCTACCGCGCGACCCTAGTCTACTAAGTTAAAGCGGAGGCGTAGGTGCCCCTAATCGACCTCTACCTAAACTAAAGAATAACGGACACCCTCCGGAGGCTAGAAGACTCGGGGCTCCTAGGCTAAATCCGACGCGCGTCTAACGCGGTCGCGGGCATACTTAAAAGGAGGCGACGCTAGAGAGAGGGCAGACCCCTAGCGGCACTACCTCCGGGTAGACCCCCCCTCGCGGAGGAGATAAGGGGGGTCCGGAGCTAGATAGGAATAGACGACCTCCCGGATAAAGCTAAGTCGCTCGAAAGGCTAAACGAGGAATAGGCCGCCCGATAGAACGCTAGGGAAGACGCGATCCGATAACACCGGACCACCCTCTACCCCGCCGACTTCCCGCCTTAGTTCGATAAGGCGATAACGCTAGACCGTTACGAGGGCCTCCCTAAGTATATTAGCACGGCAATTACCTAGATACGCACGGGAAAGATCGGGCTTAACGACTTCCTCTTCGACCGACGGGTCCCCGGTATAGTTTCGCTAATATATACCTACGGATAAAGATAGGACACTATCTACTATACGATAATCGACTATCTACTAACGGTAGGGGCGAGGGAGTCCCTCCTAATACGGGCCTAGGACGTAGGTAACGTAAGAGCGGGCCTCTAAGGGAAAAGGACTATAGCGCCGCTAGCGTAATAGTTCCTCCGCTTAAGCAGGCTCCGCTAGTTCGACCTAGCTCGGAGGCTATACGTAGATATACTAGATAATAGAACCGGGGTCGCGCTAGGGACGGAGCGGCCCCGACTAAGACCACCCTAGCTAACTACCTCCCCTACTAGGGCGACCCGGAAAGGGAGAGGACTTACGATTATAGGACTATAGCTTCGACCGAACTAGACCTAGACTAAGCGCAAACCTCGCCGATTAAACTATAGACCGAATAGAACTAATATAACCTAACCGAACCGACCTTAATAGCTATAGAATAAGACCTATTACCGAAAGACCGTAACCGAATAAGACCTAACCCGGAACCGAACTAAGACGGAGCCGATAACTAGCCCCCCCCTAAACTACGACCCTAGCCTAGCTTATCGGTAGCAACGTCCGCCTCGTTATCGCGGCAGGAACGACGAGACCCCCCTAGGGTAGCACGCGGAGCACGGGAGGGAGTAACCTAAGGCTTACGAGGAGTGCGGGGACCACTACCGCTACGAGAACCCTAACGACGACCGAACGGACCCGACCCCGAACCCGAACCAGAGCTAGCCTAGACGGCTAGCTTACGAGATAGAGTAACGACCGGGGTCTCTACTAGGGCAGGACCTATACCGGCGGCGGCACGGAGGCGTTCGCCACGGCCTATACTATAACTATAGATCTAATCGAGGTTAAGACTAGTAATAATCTCGGCCGGGACCGAACCGCGACGGCTATAAAGACGCTACTAGACGAAGTCGGGAGCGTTAGTAGGATCGGTAGGCGACGTAAGACGGGGACGCTTCGGGGCGGGCTCGGCGCTAGGAGAACTGCCGGGCTACGGCTCGGCGTCGGAGGGAGACGCGGTTAGCTCCCGAGCCGGCTCCGCGACGGCCGCGGGCATAGACACCTTAGCCTTAGCCTTAGATAGGGCCTTAGACGCGGCTGCCGCCTTACCCTTACCTTTGCCCTTCCCCTTATCGATAGGGATCGGGGCTAGAATAGGCCTAGTAAGACTAGTAAGATTAAAGCCGCTATCCTCCGCTTCGGGGCTATCGCTAGCAATAGGATAGAAATAGTCGGCGAGATCGTTAACCGCCATAAGAGTCTTCCGGGCGACTAAGAGCGACTTAGGCCCGACCTAGGCTAGGGTCTTAATAGCGTCGCTAAACTTACCTAGGTGCTTCTCTAGGGACTCGTATATATAGCGGGTATTATCTACGAAACGGGTAAAGGCCGACGCGAGCGTCTCTATATTCTTAGCGACCGTGGCCGGACTAAGGGCGGACTCGCCTAACGCGCCCTTACCCTTAGCGGCGGGGGCCTTCCGACTAGCGCGAACATAAGTTTCTAGAGCAGCACGATAAAGGCGCTCCTATACCGAACCCTTAATAAGGGAAGGGCTATCGACCTCGGACTATGCCTAGTAGAGGGCACTAGCGGCCTCCTTGCCTTTAGAGGTAATCTAAAACTTAGATTAGCACCGAACTTAGATAGCACTATAGCGGGAAGGGGTTACTTACTCGGTAATAAGACTAGTTAGAGTCGGCGTAAGCGATATACGCTTTAGCCTTTACGGCTATTAAAGTCAGTAAAAACACTAGAGGTAGGACCGACCTAGGATAAAGCCGGGATTAATACGTATAAGACTAGTTTTAATAGCCGGCGAAGGACTCGTAGGTAAGCTTACTAGTAAGACGCCCGATACACGCAAAACACGGGATAGAGCGCTCCGATCCCGCTACTATAGCGACTTTCTTACGAGGAGGGGGTTTTAAAGGAGGCGAGCCGCCACCACCTAAGTCGGCTTCCTAGTTAGATATTGCGACGCGATAACGAGCGAACTAGATACGGTGTTAAGGAGACCCGGAGTTATAGAAACGAGGCGGGCGAGGTAGTAGTTAGGCCTACGAAAGAGATAGATAATAGAGGGATAGGAGGAGGCACGTACGGAACCGGGGGGGGAGGGCAGGTATATATAGGCGCGAGCCAGGCGCGCGTAATTAGTAACTACGAGATAGAGGGTAAACATAGGCCGCCGCGCCCCCGATCGGGAAGTCGCGTGGCCGGACGGGAACCGATTTACGATTAGCGGAGCCGGCCGACCGAATTTCGATTGGCCGGCCCTACCTAGGAGCGACCTATACTAGCGCCCGGCCCGGCAACCGGACATTACCTGCCCTACTAACTAATAGACCGATAAGCCGACGCAACCGCGGCCACGCGGCCGCGACGCGGGAGCCAGGGTAAATAGAGGCGCCCGCGAGTCGGGCCCCTAGAGAGAGACTACTGCCTATAACCCTAGGCCGGGCTGAGCCGGGCCGCGGCCGCTCGGGATAGTAGCGGCCACGACCGAGGGCCCGCGCCGAGACGCGATTTCGCGGGAGGAGCCGCGGCAGCAAATTTCCTACGTACTACTACCACGACCTCGTTTAAGGCGGACCCGCACTAAAAGAGGGGAGGGTTTTCCCCTAGGCACTCTAGTTTTTCCCTCCTATTTAATATTAAAGTTCTAGATACCTCTAGCTAGGTCCCTAGCGTAATCTTAATAATAATAGTATATAGTAATACTTAGTTTTAATAGGTACTATACTATTTCTTAATATTTAGTAATATTATTTAGCTTATATAAGTATAATAAGGTAGCTACTATATTATAATACTATAAGTCGCGGTATATTTACTAAGAGATATAAGTAAACGCGTTAACTAGCGCGAGAGTAGTAAGGTATAGTCGCCTAGCGTACTAAGAGGTAGGGTACTACTATATAGAGTAAAGAAGCTAGCGGGCGTATAAGAGCCTATAATAGTTATAATATAGCGCGGCGCGGAGATAGAAATTAGGTAAAGTAAGGGCGCGCGCATAGAGGAAGTAAAGCTTAAAGGAGGAAAAAGAAAAGGAAAGAAAAGAGGAAAGAAAAGGGGTTTTTATACGCGGCGGGGTATATATATAGTTAGTAAGGTATAAGGGTATATATATAGAATAAGGAGGAATAAAGTAAAATAGGTATATAAAAGGGCGGTATATAAAAAGATAAGGCGGGCGTAAGGTAAAAGAAAGTAGCTATATATACCTAAGAAATAAATAAAGGTAATAATAAAAAGGTAATAAAAGAAGAATAAAAGTATTATTAATAAAAAGGGGAAGGTAAAGGTAATATTATAAGCTATACTTATAAAGGGCTAAGGTTATATTATAGCGGCTATACTAAAGTTAAGCTAAAGTAGACCTATATATAAGTAGAGCTTAACCTAAACTTAGGCTTAATAGCACTTAAATATAGGCTGATCTAAGGACTAAGGAAGATAAATAACTAGCGCAATTAAGATAAAGTTTTCCTTCTTTCTTCTTAGCTTTAAATAAATAATTATTTAGCTTTATACTACTACGCTAAGTATATACTAGCCCTTAATAATTACTTACTTAGTAAGAACTTTTAGCTTATAATTATTAAAGCCTTTCTCTTTATTATACTCTATATATTAACCGCTTACCTAGCTATTAAACTTAGTATAGTCTATAATATATACTAAGTTAGTATATCTTTTATAAGAGGATATATCTCTAAGATAATAAGGCTAGATAAAAAGATTAAGAAAAAGAATAGTATAATAGTATTATAGAGTATACGTACCGCCCCGGCGCCCGGGTGCGCTAGCGCCCGGGCGCATCCTTAATATACGTGGTTAATTAACGAAGCTATCGCTTGGTCAATTTCCCTCTTCTTTTGCCCGCACGCATACTTTTCGGCCTCTGCATAGCAGAGGGGTCAGTAGCATATCCACTGCTTTAGCCCACCCTCCGGCCAAGACCCTGATAAATAGCGCTAAATAAAGGAGTAAGATAGCCTAGGTTTAAATAGCTATTTCTATCTTTATATAACCTTCCTAGGCGGTATATTAGCCCTTTTTCTAAGAAACTAGTATCTAATTTATATATATTGCTTATAGGATGTAAGGTCGCGCGACGGGTCACGCGACCTTTTAAGGAGGCTCGCCCTAGGCACCTATGCATAGCTCCCTCCGCACGGACCACCTCGCCGGAGCAAAATCCGCAATTTCCTTCGAGTCTGGCGGGACCCAAAAAAGGCCTACCGTCGAGAGGTACCCGTGAAAAGTATTTTCGGCATAGCGGGGCGCTTCGAGATTCCCTCTCTCCGGGACAACCAACTTGTCCTCGCCGCCTCGGCGGGTTCCTCGCCCAAGCCACCTGCTTCACCCCATACTCCTCGCAGCAAAGAATCATGTCCACCAATCCCGGCCACACAGCGGCGGCCGACGCCCGGCGAGTCGCCCTCCAACACGCAGAGCTCCTCCGGCAAAGAAAAGACGTCGAGAGCCAGATCCTCGACAGCCTCGTCCTGCTGTCCGAGTACCCCATCGTCCGGTCACCAGAGCACTCGGCCTCGATGCCCGCCCCCTCCGATGCCGCGGGTTTCAAGGCCCACGTGCGCCTCTTCCAGCCCTCCGACTACGCCGACCTCATCGAGGAGCGCAACGTCAACGGCCTCTGCGGCTACGTTCTATGCGCCCGGCCCAGGCGCCACACGGGCGCCGGCGGCGAGTGGAAGATTACCAGCCACGGCGACATTGTCAAGCGCAAGGACCTCGAGATGTGGTGCTCAGAAACTTGCGCCCGACGTGCCCTCTTCGTCAAGGTCCAGCTCAACGAGACGGCGGCGTGGGAGAGGGCGGGCATTCCGGAGATACAGATCGATCTACTCAGCGAGGACAAGACAAGGGAGACGGAAGCAGATCGTGCCGCGCGGATATTGGGGGAGATGCAGCTCGAGGGCCAGCGGCATGCTGCGCGCGATGCAGCCGCCTTGGCTCTGGATCGCGGCCAGCGCAGCGCTGTGACCGACCCGGACAAGGTCAAAGTCACCATCAAGGAAAAGACTCCGCAGGCGCCGCCGAGTCCCGCGTCGATGCCTAGCATACAGCAAGACGGACATCTCCTCGTCGAAGGGCACAAGAGCCAGCTACCACTCCGACCTCGGCGGCCGGACTGACCACTCCAAGCGTCAAAGACACATTCACCCCTTTATATCGGCCTTCGGATAGCCAGCTTGCGCATGCGACGGGTCCAGGGCAACGTCGTAGAGACACCCTCGGTAAAATATTATATCCAATCGCCTGGTCGTCTCATGCACGCTCGTAGAGCTGGGCTGTTGGCACTGCCCGCATGGAACAGGCACCGGGTTGGGCGTTCATCGATCAAATGACGTTCACCGAGCCATGGCCGGGTACCTGTTTCTTGGCAATCAAGCGTCATCCCCAGAGACATCTGGAGAATCGGCGACACCTTGTGGGGGGCCAAAGATCTTTCTTTGAGATCTATGGGCTCACTACCGTCCAGAGACGCCGCGTAGCGGAAACCATACCAAATGCCCAAGACCAATATACCCACAACCAGCTGCTTAGTCGCGACGACGGTCGCCGAACCTCCGGCCACCACGCTCGGGGATCTGGGCCTGCGTGACGGCGACGACATTGACGGGGATGGAGTCGAACTGGAGACAGGCGTTAGCAGCCGTGCGGAGGTCCAGCCAGGTCCAGCCCTTGCGGGAAGACGGGTGAAACGTACACCGAGATGCTTGAGCAGATCCTTGGTCTCGCCGTCGACATCGAGCTGGCCGCTCTCGGAGTTCTGGGTGAAGTCCAGGGCGGAGACCTCGGGGACGTATTGATCCTTGCGCTCACGCTCCTCCTCTTGCAGCTTGAAGGAGATGCCTCGGACGGGCCCTCGCTGAATGCGCTTCATCAGATGCGTGGTGTAGCCGGCAATCTGTAGATGGCAAGCCACTGTCAGCCAATCGACCTTTGTTTCCCGCTGCAGGCGACGGCCTCGTTCGTCTGGCGCTTGCTGACCTTGTTGCGCAGGCGCTTCGAGGCAATAATGGCAATCTCATCGCAGATGCGCTTGTTGGTCTCGAAGTCAAGCGTCAGCTTGGGATAGTACCGCTCAATGATGACCTTGGCGGACTTCTTGACGGTCTTGGTGCGGACGCGACCCATTTTGGCGGTGTTTGGCTGGTTTTGTCGCTGGGCGGATGGCTTGTGCAAAGAGGGCTCACGCGATGTCTAGGCCGGCTTCAAAAATTGGTGGGTTGACGTTCGCACCGCGAGTGGGGCCAACCCACCACTGTTCGGATTAGGGCTTAGGAGAAGTAGTTGCACGGGACTAGTCACATGATCACTCTTCCACCCCGAATGATGACTAACACGGCTTGTCGCAAAGACTACCTCGGCTGTTTGGAGGCTGGCTGATGACTGCAGGCGCGAAAGGCGGCAAGCTCCTGGGCGTCCCAGAGCTCATCATCTATACATGGCCAATTGATACTCGTACAATGCCCAATTTTTTCCTTCTTTAACTCTCATCCTCGTACAATGATGTGGCTTCTTCGGCGCATAGAGAAGAGAGCCTCGGCGTCTCCTGCCCGGCGCTCTGCGTGAAAGCCGCTACGTGGCCGTCTCCCGACGAGCATCCCACTTAAACCCGAACCGTTTGCGAATCATCCACCTCACCCTGATCCTGTGCGTCTGGCGGGAGGACTTGGTCCATGATCCCGTCCGCCACTCTGTCGGCCTGAAACCTACTGCTGACCTTGGCAATCACTGGCTGCCTCGGTGTCTCCCCGGGCACGTATCTGTCCAAGAGTTTGTCGTCGTATATGGAGCAGGACCCATTGCTCTCCTTCAAAATCAAAGGGGCCTCCCTACCAGTTTCCCGGAGCCGCAGCACGACCCTCCCGCTGGGGTCGACGCTGGCCGTGTGTGGCTCGACGTACGCCTTCGCGCCGCCGTAGGTCGTCGTGTCTAGGTATGTGATACCGGCGAGCAGGGCTTTGGTAGTGCTGCGCTGTCGGCCGTACCTGACGTTGAATTCATTGTCACCGACCGGCGTAACCGCCACGAACCCGCCCACGCCGAGCTTGGCCGGTGCGGCACCCATTCGGGGGGATACGACTCGGGCCAAGGCGGGCGTTCGGTGACTCTGAGGACCGTAGATGGGATGGTTCTCCATGAAGGCATTAGTCCGCAGGTAGCTGATGCCTGCAGAAGGGTGGCTCGGCGGCGGACCGGTCCTCTCGTATGGGCTTTCATCTTTGACGGATTGTCCAGACTTCGATCGCACCGACTGCATTACTCCGGAAAGCGGATGCCCCAGTGGCGCCATGTCGAGGAACCTGGATATCATGTCGTACAAGAGGATGCGATCGTAGCGCATCGTTCGCAGAAACTCGGTAAACTGCTCCTTGGTGATGTCTTTGGGATCTACCGGCGCCGGCGCCGGCAAGCCCCGCTCAAACGCGTCGTTGTTCTGGTTTGCCGTGAGCTCCTTTGCCAGCTTGTCCATAAGTAACACTCGGAATTCGGCGCGCCTAGGCCGCACTTGCTTTTCAAGGTATTTGTTGAACTCCCCCTGGGTCATGCGGGCCAGCCACGGACCCTGGAACTTCCAGCGCCGCTTGAACAGGCCCTCTTGCTCGTCAGCGCTGTGGGGGTCTTTCTTGGTCGCCGCGTCTTGCTGATTGGGCTTTTGGTTAATGGCATCAGTGCTCTTCTCGAGCATTCCCTCTTGCTGGTCAGCGGGTTCCATGGCCGCCGGGTTTGTGCCTTGCTCAAGCACTGCTTCTGGTTGGTCGGCGTGACCAAGGTCTGTAGACTCCATGCCTTCCTTGAGGACTCTCTCCTGCTGGCCGGCACCCCCAAGGACAGCAGAGTCCATTCCCTCCTCGAGCAATCCCTGTTGCTGGTCCGCGGGCTCCATGACCACAGCCTTTGTGTCTTCCTCGGCTTGGTCGGGCGCGGGCCCTAGGTCTGCAGAGGTGATGCTCTCCGTCTCTTGTTTGAGCACTCCCTCATCCTGACCAGCGTTCTTTAGGCCCGCAGAATCTGTTCCCTCTTGGAGCAATCCATCTTGCTGATCGGCGGGCTTAAGGTACGCAGAGGTTGTGCCTTGCTCCTGTTGGTCGCCAGGTTTCGGGTACGCCAAGCCCGTGCATTCTTCGAATATCGACTTGAACCATAGGTCTGGCTCTTGAGGCGGATCTTTGGGCGAGCCTTTGCCTTGCTTGACTTCTCTATCTTCGTTTTTGGCGTGCTTCAAGTATGTAAAGTCCTGGTGCTTCTCGAAAACCGACTTGAACCAAAGCGCGGGCTTCTGGGAGAAGTCCTTGGGGTCCATGTACCGGGGCACGGAGAGAGCCACGCGCAGCTCTTGGAACTTCTCGAGGGAGATGGTATAGTCGGCAGCAGACATGAAGTCGGTCACGTTCTCGACGGAATCGACCTGCTTGACACGGATCAAGGGCGTGGACGTGGTCAAGGTAGACTTGAGCGGGAAGGGGCGCTTGAATCCCCAGTCGCCCTTCTCGCGCGACGAAAGAGGTGAGGTGATTGACTGGCTCTGGGGGTACGGTCTCGTCATTGTCGCCGACTTGTTGCCGCCGCTGTAGATGGTCGTTGACTGCGGTTCGGGGAGGGGCTTGGGGACAGAGAACATGCGCGACGACCTCAGTAGAGCCGCCCCGGGCGACACGGCGCGGGCCCCCATTGCGAGTCCTGGGGGGAGTGGAAGCGATGCTCAATGCCCGAGACTGAAGGATGCGTCGTGACGGATTAGAGGTCGCTCGGATGCTGGGAACCTGGGCAGACAATTAATTCACCTAGATCAGCCGGGGATCAGCCGGGTCACCGAAAACTTGCACACACTATAATTACGTAGAGGACTAGTTAGTTAATTAGAGGCTAATCTAACCTGGACCTCGTCACGAAGCCTTCAATTAGGTACTCACGACGGCTCTTTCTGCCCGGCGAGCCTGAGCCTGCTCGAGAGCGAGAGGGGGACGGAGGGAGCATGCTGCGCGCCTATAGAATGTCTTCCCTTGTCCATTCGTCCCCGGCCCTGACCTTTGAGCTCGTGGCTCGATGCTCTGTAAGTCTCATGCGCTGCATCGCACAGCAAGTTGAGGATCTGACTGCTGGGCCCTAGACAACGAGGGCTCGAGCTTCTACTATCAAACTCCCCCATGGCCCAGTTCAGCTTCCCATTTTCATGCCCGTGGCCACTCAGGCCTCCCTGAAAGGCATCACCCCGCAGCAGCTCGAGGAGACGGGCTGCGTGCTATGCCTGAACAACACGTACCACCTTGGCCTGAAGCCGGGCCAGGAAGTCCTCGACGCCATCGGGGGGGCACACAAGCTTCAGGGCTGGAATCACAACATACTCACGGACAGCGGAGGGTAAGTTGCGCGAACTGCCCCGGTGTCGACGAGTCTGACGGCATTGGGACGCCAGTTTTCAAATGGTGAGCCTGCTCAAGCTGGCCAAGGTGATGGAGGAAGGTGTACGCTTTCTGAGCCCCCACGACGGGTCTCCCATGCTGCTCACGCCCGAGCACTCCATCTCTCTGCAAAACACAATCGGCAGCGACATCATGATGCAGCTTGACGATGTCCTCGTCACCACTTGCCCGGACAAGGCGCGCATGCGGGAAGCAATGGAACGGAGCGTACGGTGGCTTGACAGGTGCATCGCCGCGCACAAGAACCCCAAGACGCAAAACCTCTTCTGCATCATCCAGGGGGGGCTAGACCTCGACATGCGGCGTGAGTGCACCGAGCAAATGCTGGCTCGCGACACGCCCGGCATCGCCATCGGAGGCCTCAGTGGAGGAGAGGCAAAGACCGACTACTGCCGCGTCGTCGCCACGTGCACGGCGCTACTACCGGAACTGAAGCCGCGCTACGTCATGGGCATCGGGTACCCTGAAGACCTTGTCGTCAGCGTCGCCCTGGGCGCAGACATGTTTGACTGCGTGTGGCCGACGCGGACGGCGAGGTTCGGCAACGCCGTCACGAAACACGGGGTGCTGAATCTTCGAGGCGCCAGGTTTGCAAACGATTTTGGGCCCATCGAGTCCGGCTGCGGGTGTGCCTCTTGCAGGACCGGGGATGGAGGCATGGGCATCACGAGGGCCTTTGTGCACCACAACGCATCCAAGGAGACGATTGCGGCCCACGTCTTGACCATTCACAACGTCTGGTATCAGCTCAACCTGATGAAGGAAATCCGGGAGTCGGTCATCGAGGACAGATTCCCGGATTACATCAGGCACTTCTTCGCGAGCCTGCACGCCAACAAAACGGATTATCCAGAATGGGCAGTCGAGGCTTTGAGGGGCGTGGGTGTAGACCTGATGTCGGAATAGGCTCGACAGGGCCTGCGTCTGATATTGGGTGTGCATCTCACATTACTCTTAGTATGTATACTAGCTCATTCAATCTCACATGCCCCCGCTGATAGCCTGGCACCAAACTCCAGAGCAAGCCGTCACTCAATCGCATCTTGTGAATCGCTCTACAAGTTGCTTACCGAGGCACGTTTCCAGCCTCGGAAGCGTGGGACACCCGGCTAGATGGCAACCACGACGGCGGCGGCGACCATGATGAAGCCGGCAGCAGAGCCGACGCGCATGTTGGAGGCGGCAGATCCGGTCGAGGAAGAAGCAGCAGTCGAAGCCGTACGGCTGGCCTGATCCGCGCCGCCGCCGGGCGTGGTGGTCGCGTCGTCGGTGGCCTCTGCGTCGGTGGAGGTCGTTGCAGTCGCCTCGGTCAAGGATAGGGCGTTGGTCGAGGAGCAAGCATCGCTGAACCTGCGGCAGAAGGTCGCAAATGACCTGGCCACTGCGACTCGTTAGCCTGGGATGCGAATGGCAGCTTTGCGGGTTCAACGAACGCGTATAGATGGATTTGGGCCCGCTGTCCCTGGCCCAGTCCCGGCACGTTTGGGCGTACTTGTCAAACTCATCGGTCCAGCTGACCTGGCCTCGGGCGGTGATGCAGCTGTCTCTGCGCGTTAGACATGGTCGCCATCCACCCCTTGTGGTATCTGTCCCCCTGGGCTGACACGTACCAGTAGCATGGCGCCTGGCGGCCGAAGGGAAGGTCTGCGAAGCCTGGGATCTCCATGCTGCAAGACTCAAACAGGCCGCCCAAGGAGTTGCAGGCTGGCGCGTAGGAGGCGGTGGGTTCGGCCCCCCTGGCTGTCGTGAGTCGCTTGGCGGTTGCGGTGCCGGAGACTGCCGTGGCCGAGACAGCTCTGCCGCTGCACACACCTCTGTTCGCGGCACAGATATCGTAGAGTCTGCCGAAAGCTACAGGCTGGTCAGTCAACATGGCCTCGTGACTGGTCGCCCTCGCTCGGCACACAAACCCGAGTATGCAGTCGACAGCGTGGGCTCCGCCTCGACCAGATACGATGAGCAGGAGGCATAGGCGGCGTCGACGGGACGATTGCCCTCGCAGCAGGCACATTGAGCGAGCTCGTCCGGGGCCGCCGTCGCCAAGCCGCCGGAGCCGCCGGCCCGGCGGACGCACACTTGCAGCTTCTGGTTGGCCACCGAGCAGACCTTGAAGCCCGGGTCGGCTGGGTCGACGGCGGCGACTATGGCGGCATTGTCGATGAAGGGGAGCGTCATCTGGCTGGCTGCGGCTCCGCCAGCCAGGGCGTGTATAAGCAGAGAGTTCTTCATCTTGAGAGGCTTCCGAGGTGTGAAGATGGTGGTCGACGGAAGAGCGAGGATGCAAATTCGACAACCGATCAGGCAGTTGGCTCCAAGGCTGGGTTGCGGTGGACCGTGGGCAGCGGAAAAGGGCGGCCAGGCATATTATTTATTGCTTCACCCCCCGTCGTGCCGTCTCGCCTCTGTCCACCAGGGCTACGCCTTGGCGCGGTTGGGCCTCGAACTGTACCGGTATGGTACTGTACGAAGCGTGTACAATGTCCGTGTAGGAGCCAAGGTCTCTTGTCAGCTTGCCAGGGCCGCTGATGGCGGCGGCGTCCATGGATCGTGCGAAGGGTCTGGGCTCGCGGGGAGGGACCCCGAATGATGCAGCCACCCGGCCATGTGTTGGGATCAATGGGGCCGGACAGGGGGGTCGGGTAGCCGATCAATTTGGTGTGCATGCGGCTGAGCAAGCCAACAGCGGGCCAGGCAATTGCGCCTAACCATCCGCTCGAGGAGGGTATGAAGCCGCCAAGACGCTGGTGAGCGCGGTCCAACGTCAAGGATCTGGTTGGGGTGCGAGCGGGCTGCCGAGGGCATCGAGAGAACGGTGGCAGCAGCGAAGGCCCGTCGACGTGTACTTTTACCAATGGCATCACAGGCTGCTCGGCAGGAGGCAGCCAGAAGCTCTTGTTTGAACGACATTGCAACGGCCAAGTGTGTTGTTGGTGGCTGATATTTTCGCGGTTCGCTTCGCGTTGTACATCCGGATGGAGCCGAGGGCCCGAATCCCCGGCGAGTAGATCAACGAACCATGCATTTAGTTCACGACTGACGGTCTTCTTCCCAGGGTCTGTGCTTTGAAGGATCATTTGCAATAAGCAGCTGGGGTGCGCCCGAGAAGATGTCTCATCGGCACGGGTCTAATAATAGCGGAACACATGGCTCCCAGGACAAGGTGTGGCAAGACTGAGCTGTGGAGGGCAGCCATGCTGCTTTTCCTTTTGCATCGATTTTCCGCGGCCTTGGCTGTTATACCGGTAGCAAATAAAGTCGGGCGGGCACTTGGCGGCGCGCAAGCACAGGCAAACCGACGGACGGGCAGCCTGGGGCAGGGAGCGGTGGGGGCTTCAGTGCCCTCGAAGCAACACGTGCTGTAATGCTGGACTGTACAGTACAAGAGAATCGAGGGCATGGACGATAAAGGAGACTGAGAGAGGGATGTGTCAGACCTCTCGCCTGTCGACTAATCATGGTGAGTTGGGCGTCTTGGATGGGGTCGGTGGTTGGTCACGCTTGGCAGGTAGGCCAGATAGATGATGGACGACTGAGAATACACCCTCTAATTCTCCGACCAACGGCGCTTTTCCCGCCGACATGCCCGTCGATGACGAGGCGGCCCCTCGATCAGCGCGGAGAGAGCGGAAATTGGGCGGCAGGTTTGCCGCAATTCTCCGCAGAGCCTCAGCGGGCGCAGCATCAAGCCAAGTGCCTGCCCCTGCGGTCTTCGCATATGCAACGACCTAATAACAGGTGGGTAAGGTAGGTAGTGATATTGCCTGCAGACCAAGGCCAAGAAATCCAGTGGGAACTACGGTGGCACGGTTAGATGAGGTCCGCAAAAGGGGCCCAAACCCAGTTTGGGGCAAATCGCATATAGAGAGGCGGGGGCAGGCAAGCAGAGGCAGAGAGTGTATATAGAGGCAGAGAGGTATATATAGAGGCAGGCAGGCAGGCAGAGGCAGGCAGGTAGGGGCAGGCAGGTAGGGGCAGGCAGGCAGAGGCAGAGAGGTATATAGAGGCAAGCAGAGGGGCAGGCAGTGTGAGGGTCTTGGCCTAGAGGGCAAAAGTAGTAGGTAGTTGTCGCGCTACTAGACCGCCTCTGCCTGTCTCCCTCTGCCTGCCTCTGCTGGTCTCTTGCCTTCGCCTCTGCTTGCCTCTTGCCTTCGCCTCTGCCTGCGTCTCTGCCTTCGTCTCTGCCTGCCTCTGCCTGCCTCTCATTGCTGGCAAATGCTGAGCGCACCCCGCAGCCATTTGCTTTGCAATCGAACCGTCTCTACTTTCTTCCCCAGTCACCCGATATTCTGCTGCACGCCGCGGTAACACAGACAACATGACGAACGACGCTATCACAGCATGACGGACGACACGACCATCTATTGGGTTTTGCTTCCTGCTTCTCTTCATCTACCTTGGAACCGAAATGACGCCTCTCACGTCCTCCAAGGCAGGCAGAGACAGGCAGAGGCAACGGACAACGCCAAGACAACATGACGGCCGACGCTACCATCTATTGGGTTTCGCTTCTGCTTCTCTCCATCTACTTTGGAACCGAAAACTTTGCCCAACTTTGGCGGTCCCGCCGATGGACACCCAAAGAGGGAAGCGAGAGTCCTTGTCTTTTCTGGCGACCACGCCAGGAGTGGTAAGTCTTCCACGATAACGCCGCCTGGCCTCTCTTCTCTACTTCTTTAGCCCTAGTGCCTCAATGACAGTCTCTTCTCTCCCGCCTCTACGACCCATGCCTCCGTCGGTCAGCCCACGGTCTCTCTGCCTCTCTGCCTCTCCCTACGACCTACGCCTCCCCCGGTCGCCCGCTCCACGCCCCTTCTGCTTTGCTGGGTCTGCTACTTTGCCCTGTGTGGCTCTTGATGGAATGCCTTGCGAGGCTCTTTGTTTTGATAGCCTGATGAGCTTTTGATCATGGATAGACTGTCGCGCGGTGCGCTTTTGTGAAAGAGGAAGTTGATAGAGCAAGAAGGACTGATGCAGCAGGAAGGGGCCAGCCAGGGAAAAGAGGGCTACAAAAGACCGTCTTTTGGGACGAGAAGAGGGGAGTGAACATTGACCTCAATCCACCATCTTGGCCTTTTCCCTCATTCATTCTCCCGCGTGACGACGTCTCGCACGCCGTTACCCCGCGATGGGGCGCCGACGTGGAATGTAGCCTGGTATGGTCTGCTGCCGTTGCGGGTAGATTGCGCGCTGGACATGCTGCGGCCGCGGGTAGTTGTTCAGGCCCAGGGTCGCGGGCGCATCGACCCGCACCGGGCTCTTCATTTTGCTCATCTCAAGGCTCATGATCCGTTGGTCGCCTCGGTCTGCGTTGCATCAGCCGCGTCATGCTAACGACTCCACAGAGTGAAGCTATGCGAGAGGCAACACCTGAGCGTCATGACGTCCGCGACACGAGGGCCGTGGCGCTGTCGTTCGTGCTTATTCTGAGTCGAGAGCCAAGTTACTGTGCCTGCAGCGGCCGACAGTCGTGTTCCGAAAGCAGTAACATGGCGCGCTCCGCTACGCATATGGATGTCAGACACTCTGACACTCACCCGAAGCCTCTCAGCCTCGATCCCGTGCTCCTGTTAGGCTGCTGCATGTAACTTACTTGTTGACTCCAGTCCTGATTCGATCAATACGAGCGGCACATGCAGCCGAAAAGGGCAATGGTCTGCCTTGAACGTCGACTCATCTATCAGGGAGACTGTGCTCTTGGTTTGGTTGGCAACTGGCTTCCTCATGGCCATCCTTCTTCGCATCTCGACCTGCCACCGTGTCCAGCCAACATCATTCGGCATTGCTGCGCGTGTCAAATGCTGATGTCCGGTGCAGGCCCCCCTGAGCTTACGACAGGTCGTAGGCATACCTGTGTGTATATAATCTCAGTTGGCACACTGCTGGCCACGTTGACTGGTATAAAGACCGTGTGTCCGTCGAGTTGAGCTGCCGCTGGACATTGAGACTTGCTTTCAAGCCACGGCACTCCAACCTTTACGCTTCTCACGTCTGCTGCATCATCACCGACTTCAGCTGTGGCCTGGCTTTTCCGGTCCTCATTGAACTTTGGCAGGCGGAAGCCAGAATTCTGCCGGCGTATTGGTGCGGCACGTTGAGGCCTGCGCCATCATATTGGCCTCTGGCATTTGAGACTGCACGAGCAAGCGAAAAGAGCCTGCGTTGTCGAGACCATTGGATTTAGCACCGAGACAAGATATAAGTGGCATCCCGCAAAGCAAAAGCACCAACTACCCAAATCCCCCCTCGCACATCGAAATTCGGCCCCTCCGAAGCGCCGGCGGCCGTCGACCGGAGCTCCTGCCGCCGGACTCGGGCTCCGCCATGGACCTCTTCCGCCAGACGCGGACGCTGGCGGCCAAGACACTCAGCATCATCCTCACCCGCCACGCGGCCACGACCATCTACAGCGCCCTCGTACTGCCTGCCCTCGCCTGTGTCTACCTCGGCCTCGGCCAAAACTTCAACCAGCCAAATGCCGAGTTCGGCATCGGCAGCCCTCGCGACATCCGGCCCCTCGCCGACGCCCTCGCCGGGGCCGCCGCCAGCACCGGCCGCCGCACGGTGGCCCTGGTCAACGGCGGACATTCCGGGGGCGCCATTGACGGCGTCATCGACTCGCTTGCCGAGACTGTCGCTGCCGCCGGCCAGCAAGCGACGCGTCTGGCCTCGGAGGAGGAGCTGAGCTACCTCTGCCGCCCCTCGCCCCGGGGCACGTCGTCATGCTTCGGCGCCGTCGTATTTCGCTCGTCGCCGCGCGAGGGCGAGGCGAGGATTTGGAACTACACCCTGCGCGCCGATCCGGCCCTTGGCTCTGGCTTTCGAGCCGCCCGTGACGATAACGATGCCCCCATCTACGTTCTGCCGCTCCAGCATGCCGTCGACGCCGCCATCGCCGGCTCTTCCTTACCGGCGGGCGCGCGTGAGTACGGATACACGGCCGAGACTGAGGATGAGCGCCGGGCCGGGCTGCGCCGGGCTTACCAGTCGTCTTTCATCGACTACCTCGGCGTCGGCTTCGCCATCGCCCTCATCGGCGTCTGCTATCACATGCCCGGCCTCATCGCCACCGAGCGCGAGTCCGGCATGTCGCAGCTCATCGACGCTATGATGCCCGTCAGCGCCGCCTGGCACCGTCAGTTCGCCCGTCTCGCCTCCCACCACGGCGCCTTCACCCTCGCCTACATGCCAGGCTGGCTCATCGCCGCCATCATCTGCCGTGTCATGATTTGGAGAAACACGAGCTACGGCACCCTCGTCGTCTTCTTCCTCCTCGGAGGCCTCGCCATCACCTCCATGTCGCTGCTGGCCGCGTCCTTCTTCCGCAAGGCCCAGCTCTCGGGTGTCGTCACTACCGTCGCCTGGATCGCGTTGGCGTTACTTGCACAAGCCTTGCCCGCGGCCGGCACCGCCGCCGTCGCCATTCTCAGCGCCCTCTTCACGCCCTGCACCTTTGTCTTCTTCATCACCAGCGTCGCCCGCTACGAACGGGAGGGTCAAGCGTCCGACCTCGCGCGCCCTCCTCCTGGTAGCCCCTGGAATCTGCCGCCCGTCGTGCTTTGGATCTTTCTGATTGCTCAGGCCCTCCTGTACCCCGTCCTCGCCGCTTACCTCGAGAGGGCTCTCCACGGCGTTACCACAGGCGTCCGCCATACGTCCCTTCGACGTTCGCAAGCCGCAGCAGCGGGGGACGACGTCGTCCGCGTCGACAATATAACCAAAGTCTACCGCCCCGGGTTGCTTCGTCGCTTCTTCTCCTTCGTCTCGAGCCCCCGGCCCGAGGTGGTTGCCGTTGACGGCTTGACTTTGACGGCCAAGAAGGGTCAGATTCTTGCCCTTCTCGGTGCAAACGGCAGCGGGAAGAGCACTTCGCTAGACATCATCGCCGGCATCACCAATTTCACGAACGGCAACGTCTCTGTGGACGCTAGTGGCGGACTCGGTGTCGCCCCGCAGAAGAACGTCCTCTGGGACGAGTTGACTGTCGAGGAGCACATCGGCATATTCAACCAGCTCAAGTCACCGAGCAAGCAAGGCTCTCGAGAAGAGACTCGGGTGTTGATCGATGCTATAGGACTCGGCCAGAAGGCACAAGCCCAGGCCAAGACCCTTTCGGGCGGACAGAAGCGAAAACTGCAGCTTGGCATGATGCTTACGGGCGGTAGCTCCGTCTGCTGCGTCGACGAGGTCTCATCGGGCCTCGACCCGCTCTCCCGCAAGAAAGTCTGGGACATCTTGCTCTCCGAGCGCGGCAAGCGCACCATCATCATGACCACGCACTTCCTGGACGAGGCCGACCTCCTGGCCGACAACATCGCCATCCTTTCCAAGGGGACTTTGCGAGCCGAGGGCCCATCTGCCCATCTGAAAAACACATTGGGCGCGGGCTATCGCATCCACGTGCTCGACACCCCCGAAGCCGCCAACCAGCAGCCTCCTCTGGTTGCCGGTGTCGAATGCAAGGCCGGGCCAGGTGCCGTCACCTACGTCGCCCCTTCGTCTAGCCTCGCTGCCGATGTCATTGGCGCGCTGGAGGCTCGATGCATTCCCTACAAGTTCTCCGGCCCGACTATCGAGGACGTCTTTCTCAACTTGGCTGATGAGGCCAGAAGCGAGAAGTCGCACGGATATTCTCATCGTGGCTCTCCAATATCTGCCCCGAGCGAAGAGCCGGCGGGACAGGACAAGACCCTTGGAACCAGCTCGTGCGCACAAGGTCTCCTTCCAGGGCGCCCCGTTGGCCTGGGCAAACAAATTGGCATTTTCCTGCGCAAGCGATTTGTCATTCTTCGGTCCAACTGGATCCCCTACGTGGCCGCTTTCTTAATTCCCATCATCGCTGCCGCGGTCACCCAGATTCTCGTCAGGGGCGAACACGCCGTCGGATGCTCGCCGGTAGACCAGAGCAGCAGCCCTTCCAGTGAAGAGGTCAGCGACCTTTTCAAACCTGTACTTGTCGTTGGCGGTCCCTCTTCCAAGTTCATCGGCTCCAATGTGGCCGACTTGTTCAAGCCCCTCCGAGTCCTGGGTGGAGCGGCTGCTAACAGCGACGCATCTCTGGTCAGCAATTCGACCCTGAAGCTCGTCGACTCCATCGGTAGCTTTGACGCCTTCATTCAGCACAATCGCAGCAGTGTTGTGCCCGGCGGCTGGTGGCTCGGCGACGACGCGGGCTCTGTTCCTACCCTCGCGTATAGAGCAGACAACTTTTCCATGCATGCGGCCGTCATGAGCCAGAGCTTCCTGAACACGATGATCGCCAACGAGACCATTGCGGCGACGTACTCTGCCTTTGACTCGTCGGTCGCTCCCTCTACCGCCAGGTTCCTTCAGCTGGCCGTCTACTTTGCACTGGCCTGCTCCGTCTTCCCAGGCCTGTTCGGCCTGTATCCCAGCACAGAGCGACGGATGCAGATTCGCGCCCTCCAGTACTCGAGCGGTGCGCGAGTCTTGCCCGTGTGGGCTGCTCACCTCGTCTTTGACTTTTCCATCATGCTGGTTTCTATGGCCGTTGCAGCCACCATCTTTGACACAACCTCGGATGTCTGGTATCACCTGGAATATCTCTTTCCAATCTTTATGCTCTACGGCCTTGTCTCGATCTTAGTCGCCTATCTGTTCTCCCTTGTTTGTAGCAGCTCTCTCGCCGCGTTTGCTGCGACTTCCGTCTTTCAGGGCGTTGGGTTTGCCGTCTACCTGGTTGCATTCCTATATATACAAACTTACTCGCCCTCCTCAGCTACCGATCGCAACGTCCTCATCGGACACTGGATTATTTCGGCCGTTTTCCCATCTGGCTCGCTCATCCGAGCTTTCTTCGTCGCCCTTAACACCTTTTCAGCTTCCTGCGACGGGGACCAGCTCCGGGCCTATCCCGGTGCCATTCTCGCGTACGGCGGCCCAGTTCTCTATCTATCAGTGCAAGCCATCTTTCTATTTCTCCTAGTCCTCTGGCTCGAGACCGGAGGAGGCAAGTATACGGGCGAGAGTACTCCAAGATCAAAGGAGGTCGACGATGCCGAAGTTGCTAGTGACGTGGCCTGGGTGGACGACCCAAGCGACAATACCCAAGGCCTTCGAGTCGCGCATTTGACCAGGGCGTTCGGCAAGCATACGGCCGTCGATAACGTCACGTTTAGAGTCCAACACGGCGAGATCTTTGCACTTCTCGGCCCCAACGGCGCCGGCAAGTCGACAACCATCTCGTTGATCCGAGGTGATATAGCCCCTGGCCGCAGGGGCGGCGATGTTTTTATCGAAAATGCATCCATCGTCAGGAACAGGACCTTGGCGCGTCAGAACCTCGGCGTCTGCCCCCAGTTTGATGCCATCGACTCCATGACCGTCGTCGGCCACCTTGAGCATTTTGCCCGTATCAGGGGCATTGCCGATGTTGACCGCCAGGTCCGAGCCGTCCTACAGGCCGTTGGCCTCGACGCCTACGCGGATGTTTTGGCGCATACGCTCTCGGGTGGCAACAAGCGAAAGCTGTCTTTGGCCATGGCATTAACGGGAAACCCGTCCGTGATATTGCTTGACGAGCCTTCATCTGGCCTAGACGCGGCTGCCAAGCGCATCATGTGGCGGACTCTCGAGTCCATCGCGCCCGGCCGATCGATCCTGCTCACTACGCATAGCATGGAGGAGGCCGACGCGCTGGCCAGCCGTGCCGGCATCATGGCACGACGTATGCTGGCCATTGGAGCCCCCGATAGCCTGCGACGCCGCTTCGGCGATGCGCTTCATGTCCACCTCGTCAGCAAGACGGCACCTCACTCTTCCAGTGAAGAGATGGATCGCTTGCGCTCCTGGGTCCTCGGGACCTTTCCCGGAGCCGAAATCGAGCAGGAGACGTTACATGGCCAGTTGCGCTTCGCTGTGCCTCCATCTGCTGTGCTGAAGCAGCAGGCAGAAGCTGCCGGTCAAGGCGCCGGCACCGGCGAAGCGGGCAGCGCGATGGGCCGGTTGCTCATTATTCTGGAAGAGAACAAGAATGCACTCGGCATTCTTCATCACAGCGTCAGCCCGACTACACTCACCCAGGTCTTCTTGGCCATAGTCGGCCAGCAAGCTGCGGCTGAGGAGGATTGTAGGAAGGGGGCCATGCAGGAGAAGCCGTGGTGGAGGAAGAATATTTGGGGGTTTTAATACTGGATCTTTGGGTGACTTACTGGTAAGTCATAGAGTATTAGAGTAATAGAGTGTAGGTTTACCGCGAATGTGCATTCATTTTTGGATGAAGCGCTTCCAATTCTAGAGGAAGGGATGCCCTTTTTGGAGGACACTTTGTAGAGCGCCGGCGACAGGGGTAAACTATTTTCCTCTGCCCTCTGTCGGCGTCTAGCGTCCAGAACCTGGGATGCACGTGGCTGTCCAAGACACGGGACACGGCCGGCGCAATGTTTCTCCGCTCCGCCGGCCGCCAGGCAGGCGACAACGTTCTTTATCCAACTACTTTCCAAGCGAAGGTGGCAGATGCAGCGCGCGCGGGCACCGGCAAAAGAGCGAAGGATTTATAGAGCAATTCAATTTGAAGTGGTCGCAGCAATCGTGGGGGATACCTGACATGGCCACGTGCCAACGGCGAATCGATTGTCCAGTTCTCCACAGCCCCTGCTCCAAACCCCCGATGTCATCAAGCTCGACATCCCGACACCTGTCAACCACACCAGACCAGCTCCAGATCCTCACAGGCGTCAAGCTCCGACCGTTTGCCACCGTCTTGCCAATCAATTGTCGAGTTCCCACCAGCCCATCTCCAGATCCTCGCAGGCGTCAAGCCCCGACCGTTTGTCACCGTCTCGCCAATCGATTGTGAAGTTCCCAGTCTCGTGTCAGCAAGAGGCCATGAATTTGTCGGGAAGAACTGCAGTCTGACGCACCATTCTCCCCAGGTTCCCCCAGCACAGCTCGTGTTGGCTTCACCTCGACAAGCGAGGCTACTGAACCCAGCAACCGCGGTAAGGTACGAGCACTGCTGGGTCCACGTCCACCCATATCCCTCGGGTTGAGGGAACCCCCGGTAATATTTTACGGCCGTACCGGAATGGCGCACAATCTGGACTCTAATTGAGTCAGGGAGATCCGCTCTTATAGGGGGGGGGGGAGGGGGCACACGCAAAATCAACGCTGGGGGGAGGGGAGGGGGCGGCCCCCGATCAGAGAAGGGAGGTGAGGGAGGGGAGAGGGGGGGTGGGGAGAAGGAGGGCAGATTGGGGGAGGGGGAGGGAGGAAAGGAGGGAGAGTGAGGAGGACTGCCCTTGTGTCTGGGTCCCCGCGTCCGCGAACTGAATGGGCGTCGGGACCACCGGGCGGCCTCGTCGCTCCATCGCATCCTGGGCCTGTTGCCGGCAGAAGTCCTGGAACCGTTCGAGCAACATCTCAGCGGCCAGTTGCTCGACCGGGTGGGAGGCCATTTCGATGTCGTCGGCCGGGGGTGCTTGGCGAGCCCGACCGAGACACCGAAAATATCTGTCGCAAACGCGAGACCAGACGATCGCGATGTAAGAGGCGAGGCGTTGAGCGTTGGCTGATCTGAGCCAAATCACGATGACGAAGGCGATAATCAAGGCGAGCGGCGCGTTCGCCAGAAGCGGGATTATGTCGGCCATTGGGAATTCAGTTTGGGCGCGGGGACAAAGGAGAAGAGAAGAAAAGAGGAAAACAACAGAGATGGGGGGGGGGGGGCTTCTTATGGCCGATGGATCGAGGGCGCCTCACTCCTGCCTGCCTGGGAGAGCGCATGAGGGCGAGTCGTGGCCTTCCTCGTTAACAGCAAGCCCTGAAGCTTTTCCAGGGCGTCATCGCTCAGGGAAATCGACCAAGGCAGGAGACGACATACTTGAGCGGCAAGACCGTAACCACGATCTGGTGGCATGGGAATGAGAAGTAGCAAAGCCAGCCACCCGGCCCGGCAACCAGGGAAGCAGCAGGACCGGCAGCAAGACCAGCAGCAAGAGAAGCAGCAGGACCAGCAGCAGGACCAGGGGAAGTAGCAAAGCCAGCAGCCCGGCCGGCAACCAGGGAAGCAGCAGGACCATGGGAAGTAGCGAAGCCAGCAGCCCGGCCGGCAACCAGGGAAGCAGCAGGACCAGCAGCAAGACCAGCAGCAGGACCAGGGGAAGTAGCAAAGCCAGCAGCCCGGCCGGCAACCAGGGAAGCAGCAGGACCGGCAGCAAGACCGCAGCAAGAGAAGCAGTAAAGTAGCGTGGGCAGAAGCGGGCGGCGGAGCAGGCGGCGTGGTCGCGTGCCTCGCTTTTGCTTCACCTTCGGAAAGGTTCACGTCCTGCCATGCTTCCATACACAGTTCGGGCAGTGCACGCCACATCGGGTGGCTCTTCAAGCTCTTGATGCCTGGAACCTTGATGCTCAGGAGACGCGATACTTTTTGCTGCACCGAACCTTGGTGATTGTGCGCAGCTATTTAATACAGCTGTCTCTCCGTCCTTGATGCAGGCAAGCAACTCCATTCAACTTGCTCTCATGCCCACTAACAGACAACCAAAGCACCCACCTGCATCGTTCCGCATCATGAAACTCATCGACAGAGCATTCCATCGTCTCGCTCGCAAGATGAAGCACCGGAAGCAGGAGCACCGCCTGCCCGATGGCAGATGGAAGCCACGACAAGAGGGGCAGAGCCTGACCGACTCCGAGACGAGGCAACCACGTGCGTCGGACAAGGTGAAGGAGCAGAGTCCGACCGGCTCCGAGACGCGGCAACCACTTGCTTCGGACAAGGCAAAGGAGCAGAGTTTGGACGACTCCGAGACGAGGCAACCACTCGCTTCGGACAAGGCAAAGGAGCAGAGTTTGGCCGACTCCGAGACGAGGAAACGGCTCGCCGAGGACAAGGCAAGGCAGCAGGAGTCGTGCGCCCTCCTCCAGCTTCCCCTCGAGTCGATCCTAGACATCGCCGACAATCTTCCTCGGTACGGGCAAGTCGTGCTCTCTCAGTCATGCCGTGCTCTACGCGTCGCCCTTGAACGTCGCTGCGGTCCTAGTCGCCTACTCCCCCCTGATCATATCTTCGGTTTCCTTACTTGCATCGCCCGGAACCGGCCCGAGCACTTCGCTTGTCATCACCGCAACAAAATTCGCCCCATCAACTACACCGATCATCCCTTGGCTCTAAGGGCTGGAAGAAGGTGCAGGGTGAAATCCGTCACCCCCTTAGAATTAGCGGACGGTAAGCCGTATTTCCAGATTGCTTACGAGCATTGCCAGCTTGCGTTGAAAACTAGAAGCATCTTCGGCGACGACAACCCAGTCACCAGGCCCCAGCAGCATCTTCAACGATTTCTAGCTCCGCACCACAGGACGGTGCGCCATTTTGAGGGTTCACTTAACGTCCAGTTGAGCGTCTACCCCCGCATCGTCGGCAACAGGTTCCTATTGCTCAGCGAGTGGCGCATAGAGACGGAAGCGCATAAAGTCTGCACCACCAAGGGCATCCACGGCCACATCCTTATCTGCCGACACCAAGAATATAGCCAAGACGCCTGGCTGCTTCCTCCGGACGAGGTTCCCGAGGCGGGCGCCTTGTGCGAAGCCTTTGGCCAGCTGGCTTCGCAGCCACCAGACTTTGAGGCTCACGGCGCCTGTGCCTCGTGCACAACTGACTTCTCAGTGCAAGGCACCAGGAATCGCTGCCATATCCGCTCCTGGCAGGACCTTGGACCCGAGGGCGCGGTCACTCATTTTCGGGCCTTGCTGGCGGGAGGTTCCGCGATAAGCCACCACGAACCGGGCAGCGTGCGGCAGCTGTACGAGGCGGTCGATGGCCAGGGTAAAGCAGGTGGTTATTTGCGGCAGGCACTTTGCGAAATGGTCGTCCGTGGCCCTGGTCGCGGCCTTGGTCTGGCTCTGAGTCATTGTGGGGAGGAGAGGGGGGACGACGTTGGATGCTTTTGATGTCCCTAGACTGCCCATGCACGTACCGACTACCTACCCTAGAGCCCTCTGCAGACACTGGCGTACCCATCTGTGCCACTCCCCTACAGCTTGTTTATAAAAATACCGAGTAGACAGGACTTAATATATAATACAAAGGCATTTAGTCTTGCTAATTTTGCTTGAAACTTTCTGTGCAGAGTGCTACCTACCTACCGGGTGATGCGCGAAGGGTAAGGGCGCCACAGGAGTAGTTCCAGCACCAGCGCAGCGCACCGGCGACAGAGCCCCAGGCGCTGTGACCTTCGCCCACGGAGACGGAGGATAGATAGTCCGGGCCTCGGAGGTGCTGCTGTCTCTATCTTCAGCGCTCATGGTGGCCCTCTTCAATTGACGATCCTTCTTCCCACCTTCTGACCTGACCCCAAGTGCACCACCTGGGTAGATGCTTTCAACACTCATGATTACCGATCACGTGCAGACGTGGGTGCAGTATGTACATGGATTTTGCTGCCGCAGTCCCAGGCCCAAGGCATCAAGATGAGACGAGGATGATGCCTCCAAGAACTAGAGTGTATTTATTACCAGCCCTTCCTTCACAACAAGCCTGACTCCATCATCAATCGGTTCCGCATGCTTGCCAAGGGTCATTCGTGCTCATTGGGTTTGTCAGGCGACGCACATGGGCCTGGATCGAGCAACAGTTGAAGAGAGTATAGAAGCTTATGGTCCTACTGCAAAACATCAAGTCCATTGCAGCTTGGAGTCATCAACAGAATCTTGGCCATACACCTCTTCATAATTCCTAGGCAGCGGAGTTGATCAGCACGTGTTTGCAGGTGGCTGAGGCCTTGTTGGCCGCCCTTGTTCGCATTACCTTTCATCAGCTACTTCCTACAAGGTCTGAATACTGTACACGGACCCTATCAAAATGCCGCCTGACGTGCATGTGCGGCAAGACAGCAGCATCGGTTGGCTTGATGGGTGGGTCGTTGGTTGTCTGGACGGGAAATGTTGTGTTGGCTGCGCACTTTTGACTGTCTGGGATTGGGGTCCGAGTTCCGTCGCATCAGACCTTCATCATCAGACGCACTGCGCGACATTGCTGCAGCCAACTTGGTTCCAATCAAGCGTGTCTCTCAGATCGACGTAGTGGCAGTAGGGAGTTTGTGGATAGCCTCTATGAGTGTAACTCAGTCGCCCATGACCGCGTGTCATGTTGCACGGAACGAGGTTCATCAACGACATGAGGGTATTCCGATACCAGACGAGAAAAAGCCACCGCGCCCCGTAAGATCAAGACCTATTATCGGAATGTAGAACCAACACGTGGGGACGCTGATGTTTTGCATGGTGCAGACTGCCGTCTTTGCTCAGGTTTTGAAGTCCAACGTGATGAAGTCACGCGGCGTGAAGCCAGGAGGTTTGACTACAGAGAGCGGGGAAAGAGATGCAGCCCTAGGAACCGCAGGCCCGCAGTATACAGAGTGAGCGGCTTTTTAGATATCCAGCGCCGTCCAAGGATGCAGCTAGGCAGGCTGCTGTTGGCTGAGTCTGAGCCTCCAACGTCGATGTTATCAAAGCGAAGCTAGGCGATCCCTCCACCAAGTCGAAAAGAATGGGAGAGGCTGAAATCTACGGAGAAAAAGATCCGCCAGATATACTTTGAGACGCTCCCCATAGCATAAAGAACCACTGCAGAAAACCCCTTCATCGTCACTCCCCCTATCATGTCAAGAGGGACCAATCCGCCGGAGCAGCATCCCGGTTCTGGGATGGAGTGTGACTGGAATGCTCACAATAATCCAGCGCGTAGTTGTGGGTTAGAGCCGGTTTCTACACTCGCTGTTCCTGATTAACATAGACTAGATGCAGCGTTCTCTTCCTCCCTTCTAGGGGAGGACCAAAACCCACCAGTTCCGCTCGAAAACGAACCTCGCACATTATATTCGGCTTCAACTAGTAGTGCTGGCTATGAAACTCGCGTCCAGGCCGACTCGAAGATGCGCCCTCCATTGATCGGTCAATCAGACACCCGGTCTCTGCTGGAATGGATTGACGAGGAATATGCGAGCTGTGCTGGAGGCATGGCAATGCCCGCAGGCACGAGTCTCCGTATCCTAAATGAAAGCGGTCCTACGCCCAGTAAAAACGTTTCAGACATCACTCAGCATTCCCCAAACTTGTCGGGAACGTCCCCGGGCGCCGAGGCGGGACCGTCGGCGTCAGATCCAGCAGTCGCCTCATATCACCACACTGGCCCAGAACACTACTCGATTAAACGAATAGCACACTACCGTGTCGAAAAGCGTTACCGCACAAATATCAGCGACAAGATCCGAGTCCTGGATGAAATGCTACCGAGGCCTTCACCAGCCGACCAGCAACAGCCGGACCAGCCTGAAAGTGGTGGACAAGACGACACCCATCAGTGCGACGATGGTGCGGCAATCAAGAGGAGCAAGGGCGAGGTTCTGTCACGAGCTATTGATTACATCGTACACTTGAAGAGAAAGGCGGATTGGCAGGAGAAAAAGATTCAAGAGCTCAGCGGACGCATCTGGGCATCCAGAAAGGCGTTGGAGTTGGGACACGATGTTGACATGTTTGCTGCTTGAAACACAAGGTCCACAAACGCGGCATAGAAATGCAGCTAGCGTTTATTAGACGCATGAGGAACCCTTTCTTCTCGTACTGTCGCACGATCAAGTCGATATGGACTTCCGCCGAGCAACTCTGGCATCAACAATCGAAGGCATGGAGCCTTCATCACGTGGGCTATCGATGAGAATTCTCCGTATCCAAAGAACAACTCCAAAGCGATAGCCATACTAAAGTGACTGTAATCATTGACTGTTTTTACACGTGGCACTCACCCCTTGCGTGGCCGTTTTGCATCGACGTATACCATGCTCCAGTCTCCAGGGGCAAAAAAAAAAAAACCCTCGGTAGCATTAGCTACCCATCTCCCATATGGCCGTCTCTATACGCCTAGGGCCATTTGTTTCTTAATCTCAGCTATCGCCTTGCCTGGGTTGAGACCCTTGGGGCAGGCGCGCGTGCAGTTAAGGATGGTGTGGCACCGGTACAGGCTCATCGAGTTCTCCAGGTTGGCCTTGCGCTCGGCCTTGCGCTCGTCTCGAGTGTCAATCAACCACCGGTATGACTGCAGCAGGATGGCAGGGCCAAGGTATTCCTCGGAGTTCCACCAGTAGGAGGGGCACGACGTCGAGCAGCAGGCGCAGAGAATGCACTCATACAGACCATCCAGCTTCCGGCGGTCCTCCTTTGACTGACGGAATTCCTTGCCCTAGAGAGGGTTAGCTACGTTTACGCACCAACCAATGGCTAGTGGACGGTATCAACTTACATCGGGCTCGGGGGTATCTCGCTGAAGGAAGGGCTTGATGGATTTGTATTGCTTGTAAAAGTGCGTTAAGTCGGGCACAAGGTCCTTGACGACGTAGGTATGAGGCAGCGGGTAGAGCTTGACGTCGGCCTGAGACTCTGCGGGGATCCGGCCTGCAACAGAGCATGTTAGACGGATAGTTCGGCAAGCGTCCGGGGCGCGGGAAACGTACATAGGCAGGCCAGGGTGTTTTGGCCGTTAATGTTCATGGCGCAGCTACCACAAATGCCTTCGCGGCAGCTCCGCCGGAAGGTTAGAGACGGGTCAAGCTCGTTCTTGATGCGGATCAATGCATCGAGAATCATGGGCCCCGTCTTCTTCAGGTCGATAGTGTAGGACTGCATGCGCGGCTTCTCGCTGGGCGTGTCCGGGTTCCATCGGTAGATCTGGAAGGTCTTCATCTGGGAGTGCTGCTCGACGGGCGTGTCGCTGGCCGAGGCCATGGAGCGCGCAAAGACGGTGCTGGGCCGCAGGGCTGTCCGGGCGGCAGCTGAGCCGAGGATTCGAGCGGACGAGGAGCGGAGAGCGGCCATGTTTGGGGGTGGCGCGAGGCAGCGAGGGAGGGACGAAGGAGACGGCAAAGACGCGATGACGAACAGCGGAGCTGGCGGAACAAGGTCCAACGAGGTCAAGGAAGGGAGGAAGTGGCGAGAAGATGTCGAGGAGAATGGAGGCGCAGACGAACTCTGAGTGGTCGAGGAGAAAGAATGCTTGCTCGTCGCTGCGACCATCGAGTACAGGTTGGAGAAAGCCGGGGGCGACAAAGTCTAGCTCGTCATAAGCCTAGAGAGGCCGGGCATCCTCGGCTACCGTAAAAACCATTTCAATTGGACAGCAGTGGGGACTGCACGAATCAGCCCCACGCCAGGCTTGTACCCAAGACCAATCTGCTAGGTCACTAACCGAGGTATAGACCAATAAGAACGCCGCATTAAGTCAGCTCACCCACTTGGGGGCACGTCTTATATAACCAGGACAGCATATTCTAACAGCAATTAAAGCCGCACTTTTATATTACTATATTTAATTATAGTGCTTTTCTACTATTTTAGCTATTAGCTTTTATATAGAGGTTTAAAATACGCCTTTTAATTAGCTATTATAATAGTAAATAGTATTAAAAATACTAAGTATTAGCTAGACCTACTATTATCGCGAAGCGTGGCCTAATTTCGTAGTTCTCGGAGATAGCCCGTGGCACGAGGGACCTAGGAAGCTAAAAAACAGGTTTTAAAGAAGGAGCTAAAAGGAGGTGCAGAGAGGAGGGTAGGGGTAAGAGGGGAAGTAGAAGTAGCGATAGCTTCCTATAGAGGTAGCGAGAGATAAGACGGATATGCTAGCAACGGCTAGAAAGGAGGGGAAAAACCGGCAAAAAGTTTAATAGTTAAAAGGATATTAGTAGCTTCTTTAAGTAGGATCTTCTTTATTAATTAAGATACTAAATAGGTATAAAGAGGGGCGTTAAATAGAGGAAAGAAAGAGAATTAAGGTAATATAATAATTACTTCCCTACTATAATTACTGCCCTTATAAGGATTAAATATCTCTACCTTACCTATCCGATACCTTACTTTTAATTTTACCTTTATATATTTTATATATACTTTTTATATCTCTCTTTATAAGAGTTATAAGCCTAGGAGGAATAGAATTCCTATACCTTTTAGTTATTATAAAAGGCACCTTTCTTATATCCTTTATAGCTTCCTTTTACCCCTCTTACTAGAAAAGCCGATTTTTAACTATCTTTTCTACCCCCTTTTCTATAATAATATCGAAAAATAACTCCTTTACTATCCCTACGGTCTATAAGACGATTCTTATAAAGCCCTAAGATTAAGATAAGTAAGTAAAGGAGCTATAGACTCGTATAAATAAAACTATCTATAATTTAGTCTTCTTTAATAAGTAGGACCCTCTTAAGCCCCCTTTTTATCCTAGGGTAACGGAATTTATAGAGGGAGCTTCCCTCTTCTTTAAGCTAACCTCTATATAGTAGAGGGCTTTTTCTACTACCTTAGGTAACTATAAGAGTTATCGTAAGGAATACCTTTATAAGATAAAGCAACTAACTACTACTTATATAATAATAACGGAATCCGTTAGTACTATAAAGCTAATCTCTCTTTAAGAAAAAGAAACTCTTTATAAGAGCGCTACTAAGAGGTATAAGCTAATAAAGCACTTAAGTACGTAGTACTAATATATTAGTAGGGTATTAGTAGGGAATTATACTTACCCCGCTTATATATTATAGACTACTTACTACTTTAATAAAAAAAGAAATCTCTCTTCTTATAAGCTTTAGTCTTATAATAAAGAGAATATAATATATATAGCATAGTACCTCTAGCTATTTCTACTACCTAACTAATCGTACTATAATATATATTCCCTTATAATTTCTAAAGCTTCCCTTTTTAGTTACCTAGTAGAGATAGCTACTTAGAGAAGACTATATAACGCTCTTATAGCGCGATATAGTAGTTAACTAGTTAAGGCCTTTTTATTATATATATTAAGTATTTACTTAAGAGATAAAGAATAAAAAGATATATCCTTAAAATAAACCCTTACTATAGATAGCGTTATAATTATATTAAAGATATCGCTACTTATAGGTATAAGATAACTATCTTATAAGGAAAAACTTATAGCTCTATAAGTATATATTAAGGAGCTAGAGAAGACGAAACGCCTATAAGATCGCGTTATATAATTAAAAGAGGAAATTACTAAACGCGCTAGTACTATCGCTATCTATTTAAGGAAGCGTTAATAGTCTTACTCCCTTAAATTAAATAGTAGTTACGGTAGTAAAATTAAGATTAAAAATATCGCTTAATTATCTTAACCTACTAATATATAGAAACGTCTAAACTAAACTTATAATTTAAAGGACGCCTTTAAGGCAGCGCCTAGACGTTTTTATTATAATAAAATAAAGATCCTCTATATAATAGATTATATATATAGCGACTATAAAGTAAGATAGCGCTAATACTTTAAAGAATAAACGCTAATTAAATAAACTAAATATAGTATAGATTAGGTATACTTTAAAGAATAGATACTTATTTTAATTAAAGATACTATAAATAAGGAGATACTATTAGCGATATAATTAAAAGAGGCTTATTAACGAGAAAGCTAGTCTCCCTTAGAGTTTAGCTTATACCTTAACTTCTTAAAGAGGTATTTTAAACGCTTATCGGAAAAAGCGCGTACTCTTATATTTTTTACTAAGCTCGAGCTATAACTTTAAAACTAAATTAACCTCTACTTAATACTTTAATAGGGATAAGGGTATATACTTAAAGCACGCGTAGTATATAGCTAAGGATTATTAGAGTAATTAACTATATAATTATCTAATTATTTATTCTATATATAGCTCTAAGGGCCTTAAGTTATAAATATAAGTCTTAGAGATTTCTTTACTTTGTACCTCTTTATTTTTACTAAAGTCGCGTAACTAGCGGCCTTTACTTTAAAGGGGAAAAATAAAAATTTAGATTAACTATAATTAAGGAAGATACTTAATTAGATAATTAAGGTCTTTATAACGCCTTTAAGTATACTTAAAAGTAAGTTAGAAGGGGAGTACTAAGGGTCTTATCCCTTTAATAAGCTAATATCTATAAGGGTACGATCTTACCTATTAAACTCCTCCTTAGTAACTTTCTAACCTAAGATATTAATAGAAAGGGCGCGATAATAATAGGTAAGGCTCTTTTCTTAAGTATATAAGTAAGTAAATAAACTATCGATAGAACTTTTCTCCTTTACTATAATCCTTTCCCTTTATATTATTTATTCCTCCCTTTACTTATAAGCTACTTATTTAGCTCTTTCCTATCTTTACTTATATACTTCCTTCTTTAGATAATTATCTACTACCCCTTATATATACTCCTAAGTATTCGCGCTTATTATTCTTAAGGGCGTTAAGGAAATAAAGTAGTTAGTATCTTTACTAGTCTATAGCTTTAGGTATAGCTAGATTAGATAAGCTATAGAGTCTTATAGACTAGTTATTATCGTATCGCTAGTAGTTCTATATAAATATATAGAATTATAGTCGTTAATATCTTAGCGGTAGTTTTAATATATTCCTAGGTTTTTAACTCCTTTAACCTAGGAGGGTTTAAAGCCTAGTATAAACCTTATAAGGACTATAGCTAGAGAGGCTATTACTATACTTTATTTCTAGGAAGTAACGGGGCGCGCTGTAGGCGTTACTAAAGTCTTTAGCCTTAGGGTAATTAATCGAGCGCCTAGTAATTTCGGAGTCTTAAGGCGAGTTAGTAGCCGCGCTATCTACCTTTCTTCCTTACTAGCTTCTTATTAGGCTATCGGCGGGGGTATAGTTATAAGTCTTTCGCTCCTTTATACGTTTAGAGGGGTCGTTAGTAATAGGTAAGGAGTAGGTCTAATTAGCTATATATTTAAAAGGGAAAATAAAGGCGTTATTTCTATATAGATAAAGGGACTAGTAAGGGCGCTTAGCTCTCTCCTTTATAGATTCTAGGGTAAGGATCCTATCTTAAGGTTACTTAGGGAAAAGCTACTTAGTTTAAATAAAGAGCTTAATTTAGTTAATACTTAAAGTAATAAAGGTCTAGGCTTATTCTCGATTTTTATTAGCGCGATTAAATAGTTAAGGGTCTTTTTAAGGAGGAGTTTCGTAAAGAAACTATATATAGCTTAAGCGATTAAGTTAAGTTACTTTATAAAGGTAGCTAGTATAGTTAGCTCTTTTCTCGCTCTCTTTACTATATAAGCTAGTTCTATATCTTTTTAAAGCGGTAGTTTCTATTTACTAGGCCTATCTTAAAGGTTAACTACTTCTAGGACTTCTTAAAGGTCTTATTCTTTTTAATCTCTTAGAATAATATAGTTATATTAGTAAATCCGTTTATACCTAGGAATCCTTATAGGAAAGACTCCGCTAAAAGTTATTAAACCTTAATTAAATAGTATCCTTTACCCTCGTAGTATAGTAGTTATATACCTAGGAAGCTTACTAGCTATAACGCTAGAGTCGGTTCGAATCCGGCTAGGGGCACGATTAATTTTTAGTCGGATTAGTAGACTATACTAACCTACTTATTAATTAGCTAATTAGCGCTTTTAGAAGCGCTTATAAATATACTAGCAGTCTAGCCCCGCTATAAGTAGGCCGGCCCGGACCTCGCCTACCTAGACCTAGCGACGAATTCGTTAGGACCTCCCCCTAACCCCGGTCCGGGCCCCCCGACCGGGAAAATAAAAACCTAGGGCCGATACTAGTAACTCGATAAGTATAGCGCAAAGCTAGTGCGATAACCCGACTACCGGCCTAGCTAAAGGCCGGCATTAATAAAAAATAGCCCGCTAAGCCTTATAGCGGAAAAATAAGGTAGAGCCTAGGAAGATATCGTTATAAGATAAGGTCGGAGATAATTATATAATTAACTATTAACTATTAACTAAAAACGCTCGTACTACCGATTAACGCTATACCCCCTATATATATAAAGGAGTTACTTTC